GGTGCAAAAATGGAAATTTATTTGGGGGTTATTGTAGGGGAAAAATCATTAGAGACACCCGAAACTTTAAAATATTGTATAAAGTTGGATTTGCCTATATGCTTCCAGCTCCTAGATAATGATTTACTCCATAATGATTGTTTGATTTGACACACTTCTGAGTTCTAACATACTAGCAATTGTACTGTACTGTAAATGATAAGGTGGGTAATGTCTCATTTGACATGAGAATGACAATACAGGGTTTTAAAAATTAAACAAACACATTAAGATGGAGATTTTAATATCCTGTATGGCTATATCTTTTGCAGAGGTCCCATGTGGGATGACAATGTGGTGAAGTACTTTTTGGTATCAGATTTTTTTTAACAAAATTTGAATGATTACTTCAGTTACTTGTGATTTTACATACTATTGCTTATCAGAGAGTGTTCACTTGCATTTCTTTCAATATAACCATTGCCATGGAAACATAAAGCACTAGGCACCATGGTCAGTATGGTGAATGAAAGCATGAAGGGAAAATAAAAAGGGTATTAAACAAACAGCATGAGAAAGACATGGTGACTAAATGGAATTCATCCTGCAACATAGCCTCACTATAACAACCACCTGTATGTGTGTGCCGCAGACTTGTGTCCAAGTGGGTGTTTGGTGGAGGGAATATGAGGTAGAAAATTCAAATGGTAAGAGTCAGATAATTAATAATTTGATAAAAGAGCAAAGCTCACATAGTAATGATCCAAATGGCAAAGGACGCACCCATTATGTTTGTGCGTGTCACTGTATACAGTCTATCAGCATAGAGATAATTCAGAAGTAGTAGGACGGGCTATCTTACTAGAAATTGATTATATATTCAAAGAAAACATGTCATAGGTCTCCTAATGCTAGATCAAACATCACTGGACGTCAGTTGTTTTAACGAATTGCAAGAGAGAGACACCAAACAATTACTCAATTACTATAATGAGGCTACTACAAAGATGAGGAATTTCATTCTATGACCAAATATGATGTTTTAGAACTGATGCAACATAAAGGAACAATCCAACTCATGGCAAAGAATCAAAAAGCCATTCTAACGCTTGATACTGATTCTGTGCAGAAATTATCATGCTTCATACCCCCATCCAAAAATTCATACATTCACCACATTATATCCACAGAGCCTAAATACATAAAATAAGCACCAACACAACACCAATTCTAACTGGGTGCGGAGTGACTGTGTCCCAAAGTCACAAACTTATTGCAAGAATGCCTAACCTCTTTTCCTAAAGAAGCAATTGCTTATAAAAGGTTACTTAAATAAATTCACACCGGTACAAGAAAGCTACAACCCAAGGTAAAAGTAAAAAGAAAGAAAGAAAGAATACCCTTTGAGAAATAAACATCGATGTGACGTAAGAGTAAGATGACAAATTTCATTATCACATTTCACAAGTATATACCAAATCACATGCTGATTCCAGCATGTTAAGTCTAAGGCAATTGAAGGTGCAAGCACAGACACCAACCAAAATGCATAGATTGTCATATAGTACCAGGTGCATGTTAAGTGCAGTCATCACACAATAGCATGCATGAACTAAAGTGGTTGGGGGCCAGAGGCCAAAACATAACACAAGTTGCGGCATTTAGATTCAGCTTACACTGAAGATAGACCTTGAGTGATCAACATACAGGCTGATAAATCAATACTTAGGCCAATAAGTTTAAGCTTTTCCAGACAAAAGGTCCAATTCCAAACTTCAGTCACTTCAGTTCCCACTTGTCACTTAAGGTCATATCCAGCACCAAAAGCTTCAGTTTATATTCACCTAAACTATTTCCCAATAGAGCTCCTAGCATCTCAATAAGAAATAACAGAGAGGGAGCAAGCTAGCCAGCAGTATACTAAACACAAAAAGTTGGTAAAGCCCCATAAGTTTCAGACTAAGAGGCAGCTGCAGCTGCAGCTGCAGCAGGGCAGGATTCTTAAAGCTGAGCTACTGACATCAAAGCCTATGGTTTCCATTCAAGAACAGCGAATAATAACAATGAAAATCGTGGTAAAGCATGCCAGTTCTCTTTCATAATTAACAGCAACAAACAGTGATTTAGAGCTGATTAAGTAAAGAGTTAGTCTAAAGTCATTGAGCAGTAAAATGCCCCAATTGAAGACCAGCTTGAGCTGGCCTAGCTCAAGTTACGATATTATTTTATGTTTATTTTTTTTGGTACGAACCCCATGCCAAAGAGTGGACCGGACAAACCAAAGCCCCCCCATGATCCGCTGATGGAAAGTTCAATTGAAACAAAGTTCCAACCATTCATATTTCAAACATAACACACTATAGTTATATCAAACCCTAATTAAACAATATTCTAAAGTTTCCTATAACATCACAAACAACAATTTGTCCTAAGTATTACCCCTTTTATGTATCCCTCAAAAGTAACAAAGCTATGAAACCTGAGATAATTAACTGGAGACATAATACCAAAAAGGAAAATTTTCATAATTATTCTTATTCCATCAAACCTAACCAATTCTAGAAAATTACAAAGACCCAACAAGAACCCAAATTTTTAAAAGACATTAAATTACCAAAAACAACATTTTTAGCCACTAATTGCAAAATCCCAGAAAACCCCACATCAGAAAATTCATAAAAGTACCAATTACTTATTAAATAAACAAATTAACTCCATATTATGTTCTTCATAATTTAAGAATTAGAAGAATTACCATCAAAATTCCAGCAAATTACAAAAACCCACTTGAAAAAATGACAATAAATTGCCAAAAACAATCATTTCATCTACTAATTGCAAAAACCCATAAAACCCCACATCAAGAAAATCACAAGTATACCAATTAAATCACTAAATCAACTCCATTTTAGAATAAATACATAAAATAAATTGAAGAATTACCAGTTTCGACCAAGAACTTCTTCAGCTCGATATCCAGAAACCATCTCAAAAACAGTATTAACATAAATAATAGGATGGTCAGTTTCCAAAGCATCAGTAACAACAAAACCACACGGCGTCGTTTGAAGGAGATTTTGAACAGGAAAAGGCACAGAACCAACACCATCATTAAGCAAAAATCCTTCAAATTCATCTCCGCTATCATCAGAGGAGCTACTATCCCACTCCATCATATTGTATCCCCTCTTCTTAAAAACCCTTTGAAATTAAAACTAGGTTACCCCATCAAAAACCCAGAAAAGAAAGATCAAAAAAGGGGGAATTTTGAAAATGCAGAGGAAAAAGGGAAGTGGGGATGATTAGGGTTTGAAGAAGATTAAAGATGAGTGGATAGGAAAGAGAAAGAGAGATAGAGATCTTTGGGTGAAAAGTTCGGTGAGTATAGAAGAAAGAAAAACGAGGTACAGAGAGAAAGAATGATGAGATGACACAAAAATATCTGAGCAATGAAAGATTGGATTTTTGGTTGATTTTAATTTGAGGAGTAATATTTATGATGTTGTGTCTTGTTTTTGCGTTTGTTCGTCTTTTTAGTTTTAACGCTTGCTAGATAAGCGAACCTGGTTTATTTATTACTTGGGGATTTGTAGGAACTTGTACTCGTACGAAGTAATCGTACTAGAGACTACGAAGACTTGATTTTTTTTGGCTTTCTAACTTCTTGGTGGGTCTTGGGAGGGGAAGGGGGGGAGTTTATATGGGTCAATACAAGAGTAATTGCTTACCCCCCGGGCAACTAGAGTCGGGTTAAGATAGATCAATGTAATTTTTATATTAAATCGAGTTCAGTTCAGTTCAGTTAGGACATATTATGGTGTATCATTTTGGATTTGGTTTAAGATAATTTAGGACATGTTAATTCGGTGGTGTATCATTTGGGATTATTGTGTAAGAAAAGTTCAGTTTATGTCAAATTAGGTATGGATAGGTCAGGTTAGGTTGGTTGTCTATCATTTTAGTTTTGAAATAAGAATAGTTTGTGCTGGGAAAATGTAGCTGGAAAATAGTAAGCTTTTGAGACAATTTTATTCTTAGACTTAGCTGAGGTTTTGACTAGTTCATCCTTAACTTGATCAAAGTTAACCTAGCCCCGACCCGGCCAGAAACATTGTCTGGTTAGGGCAGAATTTTTGGACACGAATTTCAGGCCCACCCTAATTTTTAAATTGTCTTTTTTGGGTTTGGACAACCTAAAAATTCAGTGTTAGTTAATTTTTGACCTAAAAAATCCGCTATTTTTGCTCAAAATAGCGAGTTTCTACACGATTTTTTTGTCTTAGAGTTAGGCCTAGCTCAAAGCCTTGGCCCAAAATGGGCTAAATTTTGTGGGCAAAGCCTGACCCGTGATCACCTCAAGTTTATCCTAATCATGTTAAGTCAAGACGTTTCGATTTTGGTGATAATTGAATTATTAGGTATTAAAAAAGTTGTCGATTCTTCGATTTCTTCCTTGCAAATCAAAATTATGCAAACAAAACAAATAATTAGGTACCTAATTTATATTTTCAAAAAAAAAAAAAAAAGTACCTAATTTATGAAATTGGGGTCAATTATAAGATGGTGTTCATCATTTAAGATTTTAAATTGAAATTGGGAGTTTGTTATTTAGTGATTAATTTACGGAATTAAGGCTAATTTACATCAATTCATATTTTTTCAATTAGTGCCAAAATTGATTTTATTGCCAAGAAATTAACACGGATTATTGATGTGTAGATTTAGGGTTCATATATCATTTCCTTAAATTCAATCTTTTTCAAAATTACTAGATATAATTATAAATTGAGCATATATAGTAGTTCAATATAAAGTTAATTAATGTAAATTATGCTTTATAATTTATACATGCTAAGTGACTTGGTTATAATTCTGTAAGCTTGAATTATGTCGAATCTACTACCTAACGCTTTTACCTAACCCGATTTTAATGTTTGTTGTTAAAAACTGCAATTGAACCGGAGTATCGAAGGAGGAGAAGAAATTATGACGTCATTTGCGTAATTTAGTAGGAAAAATTCATATGTTTTGGGAAATAGATGGTGGTAAAAAAAATTGTAAGTGGTAATTTCTAAAACGACTATAATTGTTTATGGTTATTGTAAAATAAAATAAAATAAAATAAATAAATAAATACTTATACTAGTAGATAGTTTCTCAATTCTTGTCATCTATCTCAAAAGATCTTATGGTGAAGCAAATGCACACAAGTGCACAATCACTGAAAAACTACTCCCAATCTTCTTTTAATGGTGACCTCTTCTCTCTTTCTGTTATCTTCTTTCTTTCTCACATTCATCCCTTTTCAAACCGCTAATTTAATTATCCAATTCACTCAATTTCCCACAAAACTTTAGCCCCTTTTATCTTCTTCATTCTCTTCCATTTCCATTAAAATAAAGCTTCAATCTTTACATGTTTAGCTCCAATGGAAGGCACCATTTTCCCCAACAAACCAACATTACCAATTCAACAAGCAAAACCAAAACCAATTCACCCACAAAATCATCAACAACAACAACCAAACATAGCCTTGAAATTTAGCTCTGCTACTTTACCTCTTCCTCCTCAATCCCATAACCCTCCTCCTTCTTTAGCCATTGATTCTCTTCTTCAACACCTTCTTCATCTTTCTTCTACTCCAACCAATACCCATTTCTCTAAATTCACCAATTCCAATACTACCCTTTTGCCTTCTTTGCCACTTTCATCTCTAAACTCCTTCAATCATAATGGTTTTCATTGCATAGACTCGAATTCCGCCACTCGAATGGTGGCGGATGAAGTGGGCAGGAATAGTGTTGCTTCACTCGATTTCTTGTCTGATAAGGGTAAGTTGTTATTGAATTCTATGTTGGGAATACCCTTGTGTAATTTGATTGATTTCTTTGATTCTGTGAAATTTGATTTGTTAGAAGCTGATTTAATCAGTTTATTGAAGGGGTTAGATGTTTTGGGGAATTGGGAAAAGGCTGTTTTGTTGTTTGAATGGGGTTTGATGAATGTTAGGTTACAAGATAAGAAGATGAATTATCAGGTTGTTGAATTAATGGCTAGGATTTTAGGTAGAGAATCACAGCATACTGTTGCAGTTAAACTGTTTGATGTTATTCCTCTTGAAGAATATACATTAGATGTTCGAGCTTATACCTCGATTCTTCATGCTTATGCTCGAACGGGCAAGTATAAGAAGGCGGTTTCGATTTTCGAGAACATGAAGGAGAAGGGTCTAGTTCCAACTTTGGTGACTTATAATGTAATGCTAGATGTTTATGGAAAGATGGGTAGGTCTTGGGATAAGATTTTGTGTCTTTTAGGAGAGATTAAGAGTAAAGGGCTTAAATTCGACGAGTTCACTTGTAGTACTGTGATTTCTGCTTGTGGTAGGGAGGGGTTGTTAGATGAAGCAAGGAATTTCTTTGCTCAATTGAAATCACAGGGTTATAAACCAGGAACTGTTACTTATAACTCTCTGCTTCAAGTGTTTGGGAAAGCCGGAGTTTACTCTGAGGCTTTGAATATCTTGAAAGAAATGGAGGAGAGTGGCTGTCCTCCTGACTCTGTAACTTATAATGAGCTTGTTGCTACTTATGTGAGGGCGGGGTTTCTTGAAGAAGGAGCTGCTGTGATAGATACAATGACTCGTAAAGGGATAATGCCGAATGCAATTACTTATACCACTGTGGTTGATGCATATGGGAAAGCTGGAAAGGTTGATGAGGCTTTGGCTTTGTTCAATTATATGAAGGTTTCTGGTTGTGTTCCTAATGTTTGTACCTACAATTCTATCCTCGGGATGCTAGGAAAGAAGTCAAGATCAGAAGAGATGATAGAGATATTGTTTGACATGAAGGTAACTGGGTGCTCCCCTAATCGAATCACATGGAACACGATGCTCGCAATGTGTGGTAGTACTGGCAAGGAGAAGTTTGTGAACCGGGTTTTCCAGGAGATGAAGCGAAGTGGTTTTGAGCCTGACAGAGACACGTTCAACACTTTGATCAGTGCATATGGTCGGTGTGGTTCACGAATTAATGCTACCAAGATATTTGAGGAGATGATGGAAGCAGGATTTAGCCCATGTGTCACAACATACAATGCTTTTTTGAATGCGTTGGCTAGAAAGGGAGATTGGCAAGCAGCAGAATCAATCATGCTTGATATGAAGAACAAGGGATTTAAGCCTAATAACACCTCTTACTCCTCAATGATTCAATGTTATGCGAAGGGAGGGAACATGAAGGGCATACAAAGAATTGAAACGGAGATATATCAAGGCCAAATTTTTCCCAGCTGGATGCTTCTAAGGACCCTTGTCCTTGCAAATTTCAAATGTAGAGCACTGTCAGGTATGGAAAGGGCATTCAAGGAGTTGCAGAAAAGTGGGTATAAGCCCGATTTAGTTGTATTCAATTCAATGCTCTCGATTTATGCGAGGAACAAAATGTATGACCGTGCTCAAGAAATTATGCACTTGATTCAAGAGAATGGATTGCAGCCTGATCTAATAACTTACAATAGCTTGATGGATATGTATGCAAGAGCCGGGGAATGTTGGAAGGCAGAAGAGGTATTGCGAAACCTGCTGAAAAGCGGTGGAAAACCTGATCTTGTGTCTTATAACACGGTCATCAAAGCATTTTGCAGGCAAGGGTTGATGCAGGAGGCAATAAAGATTATGTCAGAAATGACAACAAGAGGTATACGTCCATGCATAGTCACCTATAACACTTTCGTGGCTGGTTATGCAGGGCGAGGGATGTTTTCAGAGATCGATGAAGTTATAAGCTATATGATGCAGCATGATTGTTGGCCTAATGAGCTGACTTATAAGATTATTGTAGATGGTTATTGTAAAGCAAACAAATATAGAGAAGCTTTTGATTTTGTTTCCAGAATCAAGGAGAAGGATAACTCTTTTGATGATCAATCTTTGCATCGGCTCATATCTCGCATTAGGCAGGACGAGGAACTGTAACTTCCTGATGTAATTTTGTATAATAGGGAATTTCAGATGTCCCGTCTCTCAGTTTTGCTATCTTTTTGTTTAGCCACTGTAATTCAAGTGAGATTCATGATATTTTTTAATAACATGATGAAAAATTCTTTTATAAGAAATTATACTTGAATGTTACTGGTTGGTTCTCTTCTTCGGAATTAAGCTCAATTACTTTGTACATTCACATTTAATATCGTTACCAACAGTATCAAGTTCCATTCCTCAAATATAGACCTTTTGTTTATGATGATAAACAGAAGGGATTTTTTCCCAAATTAAGCTTTATACGGAAATTATTTACGAAATTGGTCTCGTGGCAAAAGTATTTCCCAAACTAAGCTTCTGAGGTGAAACGCTGTCTCGGACAGCGTTTTACACTCAGTTTTTTAAAAAAAAATTCAAGACATAAAACGCTGCCTCAGGCAGCGTTTTATGGTAGTTTGACTTTTTTCATAAACTTCGTATTTCATACCTGTTTTATACAAATAAACGCTGCCTAAGGCAGCGTTTATATTTATATCTTTAAATGAAACGCTGCCTGAGGCAGCGTTTAATGTACAAGCATAAAACGCAGCCTGAGGCAGCGTTTTTATCTGTACATTAAACGTTGCCTCAGGCAGCGTTTCTTGCGGGAATTATAACGAATTCCAGGCCTTTTTTCTCAATCTCTTTCCTCTCTTTCACGCAATTTACACTCTCTCTCTCACTAACTCTCATTGTCAGCAACAAAGAACCACAGCCGTTGCCAACGCCTCCCCTGCCGTGCCGCCGCCCCTGCCGCCGCCAAAGTGAACGGAAGTTGTTGCCGGCATTGTCTCACTTACTCTTTAAATCCGGGTAAACCCTAAATTCGTAGTACATTGTTGAATTTTACATTGAATAGTTGGTAGTAGATAGTTGTTGTATGTTGTAGCAAATTGTGATGTAAATTGTATTAATTTGTTGCTAATTAGTAATGAAATGTGATAAATTGTTGATAATTATTGATGATAATGTGGTACATTGTTGAGGAAAAATATAGACGAAATTGTTGATTAAATTGTCGACGAAATTGTTGATGAAATTGTCAATGATAATGTGGTTGGTTTTTGATGAAATTCTTGATGAAATTGTTGATGGTAATGTGGTCTATTATTGTGAAAAAAATGATAAAATTGTTGATGGTAATGCGGTATTAGTATGTTGATAGTTGTATGCGGTACTAAGAGTTTATGAAATTGGTGATGAAAATGTTGATAATGAGAATGGACTTGTTTCATTGTTGTCATATTAGCTACACATGTAGGTTCTCGAAATTTGATATAACTTTCCATTATCGAAGCTATGTATGTTATGTATTGTTAAATTAGGGTTTTTTGACGTTGTTTTAGAATTCGATTATCCTTAAATGTGTTTTGGTTGGTATGTAGAATATGACTTCACAAAATGTAGTGTTGTTATGCCGGTGGGGAGGTGAAATTATGTGCGATGGATCAAATGTTGAGTACAGTGGAGGGAATATGGAACTTATAACACTTGAACCGAGCATGACTGTGAATGATTTGATGAATGAGGTTCACAGTAGTATCGGCTCAAACCCAATGAATGCTGAACTGAACCTTAAAATGAGGTGTGAGACTGGGCATGGGGTTCAAGTGTTACCTGTCTCCACAAACAAACATTTAAAAGCTTTAAGAAGCATTGTTACAATGAAGGGTGTTCCCAATGAGATATATGTAGAAACAGTGCCTATATGTACCCAACAAAGTACTTGGGCAGAACAACATCCTACATATGTCTCCGATTACAACACCGCGTCCTTCCAAGGCCCTTCAAACCACATTCCATCGAATGAATATGGGATGGGAACTTTCAGTCGCTTGCTGCATGATGATCAATTTCAGATGCCGTTTAGTCCTCATATAGCATCACCTGCACATGCGGGGGGCTGTGTGACAATGTTCGGCCAATCCGGTCCTTCAACATCAAACACCGTGGCTCCGTCACCGATGCGAGATGAGGTTCAAGAATCACCGTCTTAGGAAGACCCAAGTCATTTTGATAATATTGTAAATAACGAATTGTCGGTGTACGATGTGTATGCGGATACAGATGATGAGGATGATAATGGGGAGGAGTATGATAGGCTTGATGACATGGATCTTGAAGATGGGCAGATGGAAATTGATGAGCCCTTGGTTAGAACTGCAGTACCCTGGTTTAGTCAGATAAATGAGAATTATGAAGTTGATGAGTATTGGGCCAATTCAGGGAGTCATACATCATTTGTTCCAGGGGGAGAATTCGAGAAGGGGATGTACTTTGACAGTAAGAAAACGCTTCAAGAAATGGTGAAGATGTATTCTATACAGAGAAATCAATTCTACACCACAGTGACCTCAAATGAGAGTGTCCTTCATCTGCGTTGCAAGAAGAAATGTGGATGGTCTCTAAGGGGTACCAGGACAAGTGAGCACTCGCGTGGCTTCACCATAGTCACATACAAAGGCCCGCATCGGGAGAACTGTGTTACCGAATTACTATCTAATGATCACCCACACTTGGATTCGTCCATAATATCTGAGTTTGTGAAGTCCTTTGTGCAGAAAGTCCCGACTCTAAAAGTTGAATTCATTCAGGAACTCATCTCCAAGCAATTCCATTTTGAAGTTCCGTATAAAAGAGCATGGTATGCCAAGGACAAAGCCATCACTCAAATTTTTGGTGATTGGGAGAGTTCTTACAGCAGACTTCCTCAGTTCATGCAAGCACTGCAACAGTCAAACCAGGGAACCGTAGTCATATGGAAACACAAAGCTCTAGTGGAGGGTAGGTATACCAGCAACATGGAAGTATTTGAACAAGTGTTTTGGGCATTTGGTCCTTGTATCGATGGTTTCAAACATTGTATGCCTGTCATCTGTATCGATGGGACGCACTTGTACGGGAAGTATAACGGAACACTTTTGGTTGCTACAGGTGTGGATGGAAACTTCCAAGTATTTCCACTAGCATTTGCGTTGGTTGAGGGGGAAAACATTTCCAGCTGGTCTTGGTTTATGAGCTGTCTTCGGGATAGAGTTACGCAACGAGATGGCTTGTGTGTTATATCTGATCGACATGCAGGGATTATTGCAGCAATGAATGATCCTAACATTGGATTCACTCAACCCCGAGCCTACCACAGGTTTTGTGTTCGTCACTTGGCTTCAAACTTGAAATCTCACGTGCGAAGCACCATCACGAGAGATACGTTCAAGGCTGCTGCGTACCAAAGACAAGAAAGAAAACTGCAAGCTGACTTGTTTTCGATTGGTCAGGCATGTACGAAATCTTTACAGTATATTGCCCAAGTGTCGTTTCCTACGTGGTCTTTGTTTCACGACGGTGGTCGCAGACATGGGATATGTACAACAAACTTCTCTGAGACATTTAACAATGTTTTGAAAGGTGCTCGGTTCATTCCAGTTATGTCCCTTGTTGAGTTAACTTTCCACAGAGTTAACAGGTACTTCACCTTAAGAAGAGAATCTGCTGAGACCAGGGCCGAACAGGGACTTGCATATCCCCCAAAAGTCACTGCTATTTTGGAGAAGAACACAGCAAAAGCAAGATACCACAAGGTGGATGCCTATAACCGTCGGCTGCACATTTACCAAGTGACGACACATAGGGGGGAGCGAGTTGGTAGAAAGGGAGGCCATAGACACACTGTTAACTTCCAGTTGAGAACCTGTACATGCAACAAACCCCTGATATTCCACCTTCCATGCTCTCATGTTCTAGCAGTGTGTGCGACTTATTCACTGTCCGAGAGGCCGTGGGTGGACCCTTTCCTGCAATCGGATGCGTATATGAACACGTATGCACCACAGTTCTGGCCTATTCCATGTGAGACCACTTGGACGCAGTACATAGGACCTAGACTCATCCCGGACGCCAGCATGGTAAGAGGAAAAGTTCGGCCAAAGTCAAAGCGCATACGCAATGAAATGGATGACACTAACCGACCTAGGACTAAATGCAGCCGCTGTCACCAACAAGGTCACAATCGCAAAACGTGCCCAGCTAGATCAACCGAAACATAAGCTTGTAATTGTTTAGCTATAGTAGTAGAACAGTAGATTCATGTAGTAGTTGATTAATGACGTTATGTAACATTTGTAACGCTTGGATTATATTTGAGATTTGGTGACTTATATTTCGTACTTGTCTTTTACCTGTGACAGTCATGTCAATTTCATTGACTAGTAATTCTGTTTTTTAATTGGTTTGGCCATATTGTTTTGAATGAACAGATATCATGGTCGGACACGATCGGATACCAGGACCACTTGACCCTTCTGTCCTTACACTGCAGGATAGACATCGGAGTGTTGACATATGGGAGCAGACGATAATTTCTCACGTGCCATTTCATATACAGATTTGTCTTGTTTTTTTTTGTATACTTGACCCTTATTTACAGTTTTTAAATGAATTACCAGGTGGACATAGCGGAAATGTTGGGGTGCAGGCACTTGAGGTCCGGCTGGGCAGTCGATCCACGCGTTCTTCAGTACGTCGACTGGGTTGGCTTTGGTGGTATTCATCGCGTGGGCTACAGAGAAATAGATCGAGGGCTTATCACAACATTAGTTGAGAGATGGAGGCAAGAGACACACTCCTTCCATCTTCCTGTGGGGGAGGCGACAGTCACGCTGCGGGACGTCGCGATACTCACACGCCTTCCCATCCATGGGAATGCGGTGACAGGGGGTGTGGTACTTGACCCCGCAGGTTTAGTAGGTCGGGTTTTAGGGGTTCAGCCAGATCCAAACGAGATCAGGGGCAGCGTGCTGAGGACCGGTTGGCTACGCGACACTTTTGGACATTTACCTCAGGACGCTGACGACGCCACAGTGCAGAGATACGCCCGAGCTTAATTGTTCCTGCTCATCTCGGGCGTGCTCTTTGGAAACAAGAGCGGAAGCCATCTTCAGATTATTTACCTGCAGCTGTTAGACCACGACTGGGATGAGATCCATGGATACAGTTGGGGTAGTGCTTGTTTGGCGGTCTTGTATCGCCATCTGTGTAGAGCATCACAGCGTGGAGCACAGCTAATTGGAGGTCCTTTGGTTGTGCTACAGGTAAACCTCATCATTATCCTTAAGCCTAGTCTGATAATGACTTGACGTTATTTATGCTTTACCTTTTATTTGATTTTTAAAACAGCTATGGGCTTGGGAGCACATCCATGTAGGGAGACCAGGTAGGCCTGTTGTACACCGTCCAGGGCAGCTGGACCAGGACGATCAGTACGCAGCATACGATGCTCCCCCGCTCCCTGAACCCGATCAGGCATACGGTTGTAGGTTCGTAACATTATACTTGTGTACTCAAATTTTGTTATAATTAGCTAGTACAACTTCTTAAATAATTTGTTGCCACAGGTGGGTGGTTCCCAGACTAACACATGCGCATACAGCGAGAGGTCTTCTCTACTACCGTGACGCCCTCGATCGACTCTCGGATGAACAGGTGGAATCTTGCACTACATTTGTAATCGTTTGTTTACTCTTTATACTGTTTATTGGCATTGCCCTAACCTTTTCACGATATATCCTTGTTGCAGATGACATGGGATCCCTATTCTGCTGTGTTGGTAGAGGCCATGCCGGAACACTTGCTCGAGCATCGTGCTGAGTGGCTTGCCAGGACCCCCATGATCTGTTTTGAGGTCGTGGAGAGCCACCTACCGGACCGAGTGTTGCGACAGTTCGGACTTCAGCAGCCTATCCCCATGCCCTGTGACACTAGTATTCGCCTCCACGGCATTGACCGTCGTGGAAAGTTGGAGACAAACTGGGCACTGGAGCATCATCAATTCATTGAGCTTTGGGACCAGCGGTTGGAGTCCATCGTTGACGGTCACCTGTTTCAGGGTGTTATGGATCCGCGTGATCCTTACATGGTATGGTACAGGCAGATTACACGCCTTTTCATCAACCCTACCTACACCCCACCGTCCACGCACTACCATCCAGCTTATGATGTTATCAGCGGACTTGTGAGTTTTTTCAGTTTCTTGTTTTCCAAAATTATTTGAAATTCTATATCATATTACTAATTCATGGATGATTACTGCAGGCGGGGGATATGGGTGCGATGGTTGATGCACTTTCAGATGCCTTAGCAGCCGTACCCACCAGAGCCCAGGTTGAGCGGGTGCGAGATATGGGCATACATAGCTTGCAGAGATATGGCCATGGCCATCTCGTCCACCCCAGGGACGATCATGACTCCAACTCCTTCCATTCACAGTTCGACTTCGGACAGAGTAGTGGTGGAGGTCATACTTCGGGCTCTACACAGGCAGAGGATTACTTCATCCATAACACCGCTCCCGGCCACAGCTAGGGTGACTCATCGTCTCGCCAGCTGACTCCTCCATCGTCCCGAGACCCATTCACCACCATTCAGCATTACACGAGGCGTCCGAGGTGTGTTCGTAGACGGACGGAGGACACACGGGATGGAGATCAGTTAACTCCAATACATGAGTCCGGATAGTATTAGTTAGTTGATCCTTTTGTGGTACTCAGATATTTAACAATGTTGTATATAACGCTTACATTATTAATACAAGAAATGTTTTCTAAATGTCTCTCTGTACAATTTGAAGTTTATTTCCCTTATTTGTCCGAATTTGACTTTTGTTAGTGAAACTATATCTTTTATATCCGTTATATGTATCAAGCAGCATATAATTGGTCTCCTGCACTTAAAGTGCTGTTTCACGATGGTAATCATGCTGTTGGGGTTGTTTCCAGTGTTTGATGGTTGTCGATGGTGGTCGATGGTAGTGGAAAATGCTCTTGCGTTGTTTAGGGTGTTTTATGGTAGTTTATGGGTGGTTGAGAGTGGCGGGCGGTGGTGGTGGGGGAGGTGGTTGATGGTGGTGGGGGTGGTGGTTAATGATGGGGGTGGTGGGAATGTCCTTGCGTTGTTTAGGGTGTTTTGCATTGCATAGGGGTGGTCGAGAGTGGCGGCCGGTGGTGGTGGGGGAGGTGGTTGATGGTGGTGGATGGTGGTGGGGGTGGTGGTTCATGGTGGGGCTGAGCTGATGCTGCTGGGTGAGGGTTATGTGTAGGGGCAGCAACAGATTGCAAAAACTGCTGCTGATGTAGTGTAGCAGATGCTGCTGGTTATGCAGTCTAGCAGAAAAACGCTGCCTGAGGCAGCGTTTTATGCTTTAACATAAAACGCAGCCTCAGGCAGCGTTTTATGCTTCAAATAAAATGCTGCCTCAGGCTGCGTTTTATGCTTCAACATAAAACGCTGCCTCAGGCAGCGTTTTAAAGCCCATATACATATTCCAGTATAATTTGGCAAAATATACTAGTATATTTTGCCAAAATACATACCAACAGGTCAACAAGGTAAAACGCTGTCTCGGACAGCGTTTTACTTCTTGAATTTTTTTTTAAAAAAACTGGGTGTAAAACGCTGTCCGAGACAGCGTTTCACCCCAGAAGCTTAGTTTGGGAAATACTTTTCCCACGAGACCAATTTGGTAAATAATTTACCAATAAAGCTCAATTTGGGAAAAACCCCAAACAGAAGCAAGGTGGAACCAAACTATTTATAAGATCAGGAAAAGTGTTATCTGTTAGTCCATTTATCTGTAATATTTCTCATTTGAGCCACAGGCAAAGCGTACAATATATACTAGACCGGCGTGTGTGTGTGCATGACTTGAACGCAGCACAAACTGTTGTGCCACAAACTTGATACCTCTAGCCCTCTAGGTGCATGAAATTTTTTTTTTTTTTTTAATGAAACAAATCAATTCATTAATCAAAAGTCATACGACATCTACAAATGAAATTTAAATCAACAAATACATATAATTGAATCAAATAAGGGTTTTCTAAATTTTACATATAAAGCTGTTCATTTTACACCTTTAGAAAAATTGAATTGATAAATGGTACTTTTCATTTTACATAAAACTTATGTATTTACATAAAATTTAAAAATGAAAAAAAAAAATGATACTTATTCATTTTACACCTTTAGAAAAATTGAATTATCTATGGGTTTGTGACGTGGCAATCTCTCCACCCTTCTTCAACCATAAACCTCTTGAATCCTAAATTCCTAATATCCTATCATAACTTCATAAGAATTTTTTGTTTCTAAACATCAATTTGGCATCAAAATTAAATATTGTAATTATCTAAAGTATCAACTTTCATTTTTATTTTTTTTCTCCACTTCATTTCATTACATAATTACGTTAATATTTTTTATCTTAAAATCAACATTTAACCAATGGGAGTCATCAGATTCTATTGAATAGAATGAAACAGAAAATATGGGAGTATTATCAGTGGCTCATAAGCCAAACCCAGAAAGATTACTAATTCATTCATCTTCTTATTATCATCAAAATTTCCCAATTTCTGCTTTCTCTCACCTCAAGGTTCAAACTTTATCATTCATTTTTCTGGGTTATTCAGAATTTATATATATCCATTTTATTTCTTAATTTTAATTACTTTATTTATTTGCAGGTGCAGAGAATTAACTCAAAGTGCAGCATTTTTTCTGGGAAACAAAGCAGTTATGTTAGAGGTCAATTTGTTTCAAGCAATTTTTTTAAATTTGATAATTGTGTACGTAAGAACATTCAAGCTGGTAAGTAAGAGGAGTACACATTTTTATTTAATTAATTAAGCTTTTTTGGTCTTTGATTTTGGAATTTATTAGGAATAGGAAATTTTGCATTGAAATTATGTTCTGAATTCTGATGATGGTAATATAGTCATAAATAAATTATTGTTAATGTTGCTTTAATTTTGATTTTTCTAATTGCTGTGGCATTGCTAGTTCAAATTACACAAGTCGTAGTGGCAATTATTTATTGATGGATACAGTAAGAAAAGGGGGCAGTTCTTGGAGAGTGCAACATTGATTGCACGAGTCCCGAAATAAATAAATGTGGACCTCGATTAACAAGGGTGTAAATCAAGTGACAATTTCGTAATATACGAGTAACAAAAAAATAAATAAGTAAATGAAGTTGGAATGATTGAAATGCACGGGTGCTGTAATTGAGCCCGTAAAAAGTCCGTTTTTTTTTTTCTAATTCTGTATGTCTGATATGACTCATATGATCGTAGTCAAATGAATCAATATAGTATTTATGGTTCTATTATAGAAGAGCTTGATATAGTATTATATGCACTTTATCTCCGAGGCATAATTGTACAACTTATGGTGCATTTTATCTATGTTTGCTTTGCTGAAGGAAATGTGGTTTCACCAACTTGTGTGCTCCCATTAACCGAAGAGAATGTGGAGAAGGTGCTGGATGAGGTACGCCCTGGCCTTATGGCCGATGGAGGGAATGTTTCATTACACGAAATCGATGGTTTGGTAGTAGTGCTGAAGCTGGAAGGAGCATGTGGGTCATGCCCAAGTTCAGCTATGACTTTGAAGATGGGGATTGAAACTCGTCTTTTGGATAAGATCCCTGAAATTTTGGAGGTAGAGCAGATCCTAGACACCGAGACTGGCCTGGAACTCAATGAGGAAAATGTCGAAAAGGTGAGCACCTGACCAATGCAGTTTATCTTCCAAGAAACTAGGCCTTGCCATCCTCTCCAATCTAATTACTTAAAAGTGTTGAGACACCTAGTACATTTGTCAATTAGCTTTAATTATTGGCATGAACTAGCTTTGTTTTCATACCATATCCCTTGCATTTTCGGGCCTCAAATGATCTCTGTGAACATTTTTTTAGAGAGGTTTACTGGTTAATTGGTTATAAACTTGCAATAAGAGATAGAATTATTAGGGGATTTATGAAAAAATAATACTCGTGTTAAAGGCAATCTCGTATATATGAAATCAAAATTTTGCTGATGAGGTTATTTCTGTAGAACATTTGAGCAGTCACATATTATGTAACTGTAAAGCTCTGCTAATGAAGTATACAACTTCTGTTTCTTCAGCTTCTAGCCGAGATTAGGCCATACTTGGCGGGCACCGGAGGTGGGGTTCTTGAACTCGACAAAATTGAAGATTATGTTGTCAGAGTGCGGCTCAGTGGACCTGCAGCTGGGGTGATGACAGTACGCGTTGCCATTACACAGAAACTAAGAGAGAAAATCCCTTCCATTGCTGCTGTCCAGCTGATTGACTAAAAATCCCAACCACAAAACAGAATTTTGTTGGAGACAGAGAAGCTGAACTTCCAAGTTTAATTTTTTCCTCTGCTAGAATTTATTTCAGAAGATTGCCTCGGAATGTTCACGTTTTTAAGATGATCATTGCTCCCTCAAATCCTCAATACTTGGTAGATTATCAGACCCTACATATTGTTCAAGGCTGTGGATATACATTTCTCTTGAAAGTGTTAAATTTTAGTGTATAGTTCCACAAAATTCTTAGTGGTTACTTGTATTTATATTGAAACAAAGTTTTCTGACCTTGTTATCTACAATATATTGGCTTCAAGGCCTTCACTTGAATTTGTTTCTTTCATTTCCACCTCCCATATTTTATTTTTGCCCTTTTGGTAACTGAACTGCTATTCGTCGTTCGCAAATTACTGGGTGACGTTCACATTTTTAATTGAAATGACATTTTTGCCCTTGTGGGTATTTTATCTATTTAAGGGTCCACCATGGGTAAATTTAGTTACCGACAACATTAAAAACATTACCGACCCACCACTTGTGTTAAAAAAATCCCGAGCATTAAAAAATCCTGGTTCCACCATTGTACGGTAATCCCGAGGAATTTAAAAATCCTGTGCCAGAAAAGGAAAGTGTACGGAGTGATGTTTTACGATGGACGACGACAACGTTCACACGCCGGAGGTTCGACGGAAGAATCTGTAAGTATTTCGGAATTTTTTTTTTTTTGTAAATAGGACATCCGCTTGATTTTTCCGGAAATCTGGGGGAGATCCGCCCAAAATTTCCGGATGTCCCCAATAACATCTGGAAATTTCAGGCGGATGTACACATCCGGATGAAATTTCCGGATGTAATTAGGGACATCCGGAAATTTTGGGCGGATCTCCCCCATATTTCCGGAAAAAACAAGCGGATGTCCTTTTTTTTTGTTTTTTTTACGTAATTGTTATTGTTATTATTATTATTATTAATATTATTATTATTATTATTATTATGGTTATTAATATTAGTTTTGTTAATTTTGTAAATTTCTGTTATGATTATGATTATTATTAATATTATTACTACTATTATTATTACTATTGTTGTTATTATTATTATATTAGTTATTATTTGTTAATGTTACGTAGTTATTGTTGTTATTATTATTAGTATTATTATTGTTATTGTTATTATCATTAGTATTATTATTGTTATTATTATTATCATTAGTATTATTATTGTTATTGTTATTATTATTATTATTATTATTATTATTATTATTGTAATTATTATTATTATTATTATTATTATTATTACTATTAATACTATTAATATTATTATTGTTATTATTGTTATTTTTATTATTATTATGATTATTTGTATTATTATTGTTAAATTTAAAACAGTAATCCTTGCGTGTTTTATTTGTTTGTATTGTTATTTTGATAGGATTCGGAGGTTGAAGACGACGGTGACGTTGTGAATTACAGTGCACATTTTGTGACAGACACGGTTTTTCTAACGTGTGACGATGCAGTTACATGGGCGGATGCTGTTGCAATAAATCTGGGATTTATTTTGGTGAAATCGTCTTTCAACAAACAGAGGGATGGTCGACCAGTTCGATATTTAAGATGTGACCGGGGACGCAGGAGTAAGCCGAGAGATCTTGAGAACGCAATTCGGAAGGACACCAAAACCAAGGGCATTGGTTGTCCTTTCTACATCAAGATATGTTACGAGTTCGTCACCAATACTTGGTTTATCCGGGCGAAAGATGATGTAACTGGGACCCACAACCATCCAATGATTGCGTATCCAGAGGGCCATCGTAAAATTAGTGGGTTGAGCCCGAATGCGAAGCAGGTTGTGCGTGACATGACGAAGTCTAAGGTTGCACCGCGTAACATCATGACGACTATTGCGGAGCAATTTCCTGATGATCATCCAAACATCAGACACATCTACAACTGCCGGAATGACTTCAGAGAGGAGATGTTTGATGGGAGAGGAGTTGTTCAGCAATTTCTACATTTGGCGAGACAGAGTCAGTATGTTTACTGGGTCATGTCCGATGATGAAGGCGTTTTACAGCACGCCTTTATGGCGCATCCAGTCATGGTAGACATCCTACGGACGTACCCCTATGTGATCGGTATGGATTCCACTTACAAGACTAACCGATACGGGATGCCGTTCTTTGAGATAGTTAGCGTGACACCGACAAATCAGAATTTTCTCGTCGATTACGTGTTCATGCGCAACGAGTGCACGACAAGCTATCTATGGGTTTTGCAGAGGTTGAGAGACGTGATTGGGTATAATAAGGAGCCGTCGGTTTTCTTGACATACCGTGAGCTTGGGCTATGTGCTGCATTGAGGGAAGTGTTTCCAGGAACCTCGCACTTACTTTGTCGATGGCACATTAACAAAGATGTGGAGGCTCGGGTCACTGCTATGTTCAAAAGCAAGAAAATCGATGCGTCTTTCAAAAACGGAAAATGGACACGTATCATGGACGCTGCAACCGAGGAAGATTATGAGGCCGCTGTAGAAAACATGAAAGATAAGTGGGCAAGTTTTCCAGCAGTGATACAATATGTAGAGAACACATGGCTTTGTCATAAAACGAAGTTCGTGACATTTTGGACAAACCAAGTTCTACATTATGGCAACACCAGCACTTGCAGAGTTGAGAGCCAACATTCGTCCGTGAAGATGTGGTTTGATTCCTCGACAGGTTTGGTGTAAGATTATTGAACTTCATGTATGTACTTTATTTTAGGAATTTGAGTTACAAATCATAACGGTTTTTCTTTGTAATGTGCAGGTTCTTTAGATACCGTATGGGCTCGAGTTCATAGCCACATTGGTAATCAAATCATCGCAATTCGTAATGGTTTGGAGGCTTCTAGGTCGAAGATAGGTCAAAAGTACCGACAGTTTCCACTGTCACGTATAAACGGGAAGGTGTCTCAGCATTGTTTGAAGGTTCTCGATGAGGAGACAAGGAGGATGAGGGAGCTGAGTTATCAAGTGCACGAACGATGTGGATGTGCAATGCGTGTGACCCACGGGTTGCCCTGTGCATGCCAGATACATGATTCGCTAGCTGCTGGGACAGGATTGTACATAAGGCAAATTCACCCATTTTGGAGGACCTTGGTTATTGGTTCTGGAGATGGTGGGACGGTGCCTGGCAATGACTCGACCGAGGATGCCGCACATTTTCGTTCTCTGATGGAGGAGGTGTTTGATAGTGATCCTGCTGTTCTTCGAAACGTGTCTCGCATCATTGAAGAGGAGCTGCATCCGGATCATTCCGATCTCAGAGAGCCTGCTGTAAACCACCGGGTTCGTGGTCGACCAAGAAACAATGATACAAGACGTGATCGTTCTTATTTTGAACATGTAAACCGCCAATACACTGAACGCGGCGCACGACAAACAGGTACGATTGAGTGTTGTGTTTTTCACATAAATAAAAAAACCTAGAAACTGGACTTCCGCCCAGAAAATCCGGAAGTCCAGGGGAACTTCCGGAAATTTCTGGGCGGAAGTTCCCCTGGACTTCCGGAATTTCTGGGCGGAAGTCCCCTTGTCCAGAATTTTTATATTTTCAAAATTCAAAAATTTAAAACAAAAAAAAAAAAACTCACCGGCTCGCCGCCGCTAACGCCGCCACCACGACCACCAAACGTCAGCCTAATTCTCCGTCGGTCTGCCATTGTCGGATTCAACGTTTGATTGCAAGATTTGCTTGTGTTTGAGTAGCCTTCAACTATTTTGGTTTTTTTTTTAAAAAAAAAAATTTCTGATTTTTTTTTTTCAAAATTTCTGATTTTAGAAGGTTTTAGAGAGAGAAAGTGTCAAAGAGTGATTTTGTGAGATGGGAAATGTCTCGTAAAGCCCTAACTTACTTTATCGAGTATTTATATACGGAGGGCAATTTAGAAAATTCATGTAAAAAATGTGAACGTCACCTAGTAAAATACGAACGACGTTTAACAACACCCTTTGGTAATCGAGTGATTATGATCCGAAAATTGATCCAGGGCAAGTGTTCTGATCTTTTCTGACCTAGATGTAGATTTAAGAAAGAATTAATTTTGATGAAAGAAATAAATTAATCCAAACCATTTTTCAATTTTTGCATTTTGGATTAAGGAAAACAACTTTCTGTCCAATTTAATAAGAACTATTTGGTGTAGCTACTAAGCATTATGCATAGAATACACTGAGTACTCTGAAAAATCCGAATTAGAATTTCAAAATCTATTCTATTTGAATACATGAAAAATCACTCAAACAACTGTAAAGTGATTTTTCAATACCATGAGCCCATTTAGGAATTAGAGTACGCCTGCAATGGAAGACATTCTACCCAATTACCCAACAAGGCGGATACTTCAGGGAGCACATAGCAACTAGATTTTCCATAGTGCAAAAAATTGTATGCCTATAATCCTCTTCTGGGAGTTCATCTCAAAGCAGTGGAAGGAAGATCAACAGTGGAATCAAAACCATAGGTGTATTTTATAATATCTGGATAATACTCGGATTTCAGGAATACCTACATATGTAGCAAAACATCAGTCATATACAATTATACATCAACTTCATGGAGTCCTTCGGTTGGCTATCTTCTGCTCTAATAATCATCATCTTCTTCCCTTGGTCTAAGTAACCTCCTAACGACAGCTGAAACCGCTCCAAAAACCATGAACAAGACAAGCAGGTCGAATCCACCACCAATGCCAACTGCTACACTGGGGCCTGGGGCAAAAAATGAAAACGGCGACCATCCCCATCCACCATAGAATGGGATACCAGGGCCAAATCCATAGCCACCAACAAGTGGTGGAGCTACAGGTGGATTCACATAGATGTTGGTCCTGCAGAAAAAGAACATAAATTATCAAAGAAAAAAAAAAAAGACAAAACACACACACTCCAACCAAAAAATTGTATAGCTGATAATTCTTTACTGATATTCCTATACTTCTTCCAATATTAATTTTCTTCTTCGGATCTAGATTATAAATATACAAAAGATAATCCCTTTCGTTCACAAATAATACTCAAATAGTCATGTTTCATTCCCTCGTGATTTAGGATGTGATATGCCTGACCAAATTAACCTCCATATTATACCCTTTCTCTTGTGAGTTCTCTAGGAAGTCCAACCAAAATCTACTAACTGATTTCTGCATGATACATTACTTACAGCTTGAAACACAAGGTTATGCCATTAAAGAAGGATATTGCAGAGAATTCTATTAAATTTTCAATTCAGTACAGGTGTAGTCATACAAGGAGCAGGTACTGTGAATTTCATTCCACTTAGCCTAAAAATGGTGTAAAAGTCTTCAGATTTAGTGGCGGATCTTGGCCGAAAATATTAGAGGGGGCGGGATTTAAATATTTTACCACTTGCCCAAAACTAATCACTATGCCCCAATATTTTATAAGTAAATATAGGTTATTTAAGTTCATTAACTAATTAATTACAATAATTTAAGGGGGCCTGGCCCTGAATGGCCCCGGTGGAAGGTCCCCCTCTAATCAGATTGCATCATGATTGTACTCATTTAGTCGTTTAAGTGGTTTAGAATAGAAATAATCAAGGTTCAAGATAATATTTACATTCACTAAATGTTTGCCTACGCCAAACTTCAGAACCCATGACCCTACAGCAAAAAAGTCATGTATACATAACCATTCAGCATTACTGCATCAGAAATAAGAACAAGATCATTTACTCATTTAGTAAGAGTTACTCAGAATATTTTACTTTTGATTCCAACACATCAATGGCTCCACCGCTCCAGTTTGAACTCTTTGAAGTAAATGAGATGATGACTCCACTGAGCTTAACTCTTATTTTAATGTTAAAGAATGCCATGAGGACTTTCCAGGATAATGGAAGAGCTGCTTTCGAATAGAATTAACTTAAATGCGCACCAAAGTTCTGTAGCATGTTATAGGTCATACCAGGTATCGATTGCACTCATCAAGTTGTTAAGTGGTTTAGAATAGAAATAAAGTATACTTCCTTACAAACAAATAACATACCACAACGCTGAAGTTGATCAAGACATCAACACAATATAAACTAGCAAGTCATATTTGTATGAATAAATCACAGAACTTTCCAGCTATGGTGGCCAAGTATACTACACTATTTGAACAAACCATCAAGAATATCAAAGCGCCTAATGCATCCACATTTCCTCATCACAAAACTTGACAAACCCTCAATGTAAATTCAGAATATATTCATTCTAAATCCAATAAGAACTAAAACATAATCGACATCACAACACTACAACCACCATCACCGGTAGTATCAAATGCTAGAGCCTTACCCCTAGAGTCGCAACTGACCATCATTTCCATCATACTCATAATACAAAATAACATGACAACTAATGGAGACATTTAAGTATAATCCAAGCAACTCAAAGCTCGAAAAACCAACATCAAAATTTTAAAGCTAGAAATTAATAAGGGTAATACTAGTAAGACTATACCTAGAATTAACTCTAGGAGAAGAAGCACGAGGAGCCGAAGAGCGGAAAGCCTGACCACCGACACGGCCACCAGACTTGGCAGCAAAAGCATCACCAACTGATCCCACACTCAATACTCCTGCTGCCAATGTTACTATTGCTAGCTTTGCCAACTGCTTCTCTATTTTCCTGACCACTCAAATGTAACAAAATTATTCAGTAAATTAGAAGTATAGAATTATCATTTAATTTTATGGAAAGTAACCCATAATAAGAAGCAAGAATTTAGCCCTTTTTTTTTTTTCCAAAGTTACACAAAAACTGATTGCTACTCAAAATTATCAGGAAAATAGAAGAAAAATAGCCATTTTTTACTTTGAAAAAAAAACACTTTGATTTTACAAAAAATGAACTAATATTCAAGCAATTACCAGAAATTAAACCCAAAAACAGAAAGCAAGAAAAGTGGTCATATTTACACAGAAAAATAATTTTGATATCCCCATATATTCACAAAATTTAACTACTACACTATGCAAGAACTAGTTTATCAAAATTAATTAGCTCAAAAAAGAAAAGAAAAAAAAAAGTTAAATTTTTTTTTTACCTTGAAGAATCAGTTTGATTATGGTGATCATTTGGTGGGTATTTGCAGGAAACAATGAAAAATGAAATTGGAGTTCTGGGTTTATAATTCTGGGTTTGAATTAGTAGTGGGTTTGAGAAGAAACTCTTTTGCAAAGATCCCATTATCATTTTTTCACATTCTTCAAATTTCTACTGGGAAAAAATATATTAGTGGCAATTAACAAGTTCAATTTTCTGAATAGCTGGGAATTTTATGTGACTTTTAATTTTTTTGGTGTTCATTTTTAATTTGGATTACTCAACTTTCCATGATAAGCAATATTCACACGTGGCAGATGGATAATGGATGATAATTTTTTTCAAGAATTTTATCTATTTAGCATTTTATTTGAAAAAATAAATAAGTTTGTGAAAATTTTCAAATTAAACACTTGTTTTGCTCTAGTCCATTGGAATTTTTTAGTTAATCTTATAAACCTTCAACCTAATAAAACAATATTATTTCGATTTTGTTAGTATTATAGGAGCTACTCGGTTAGTATTACAAGGGTTTCGTCAGTGTTTAAGAGGTTACTCGAACAATGTTATAGGAGTTACTTTATTATTTTACAACCGGTCACAGTGTGACCATTAACACACAAGACAAACTACAACTCATTTAATCTCTAAGGTATGCATCTTTACGGTAATGCATCAATATTAACATCGCACACATTATTGATAAAGTAAAGTGATTAAGTGAATATAATTCTTATATAACTAGTTGAAATTCATAATAAAATCAAATAAATTTATTAAATTAGTTGAACTTCCAGAGTAACATCAAATAAGATATGTTGTAATTTATAACAATAAAAAATAATAATAACAAAGAAAAAATTGGTCTGTTTTAGGAGACACTTATACATCATAAAATTAATTGTTCTCCATAAACTTTCATGCACAAACTTCTGCACTACTTGGGGCCTTTTAATTAAGTCCCTGCCCTTAAAGCATCACTCAATTAGCAAACGTCTTCGTCATCAACTACACCCACCCCCTTACGAAGGCCTTGATCTCTTAGCTTGCTCTCTTGCTCACTTAAGTTTTTCAGACGGTGTAGTGAGAATCCTGGGTGTTCACGTCTAGGCCCTTGAGCTTCGCCACTGACTCGACATGTCCTTTAAGCGTGTGCAACTCACGAAGCCTACATTCATATAAAGGAAACTTATTATTTGTTTAAAACAAAAAAATCCAAGTACCAAAGCAAGGAAACAAAGTAAAGTATGCAGTATTCATTTCCACCTTGCAACTTCAGCACGCCTTTTGGCTTGCTCAGCAATCTCGGAGAGTTCCCTGTAGCTGGCGCTGTCACTGAAGAGGGTGGAAGAAGCCTCGGGTGGTTGAAGCCCATGTAGAGTCCGCTGTGTTTCGGCCCAGTGAGCTTCCCTCTCTTCTTTTCCAAAATCCTTCTTGGTGGAAAATGCAGTCTGTGTGCACCATCATCCATTACACTTGGTCACATAGACTCAATGAGACTACATTAGCAATTTTAGCAGCATCATAAAAAAAATCTGTTGCTTCCTTCACCATTTATGATTCCATCATGTTGTTATCTAATATTCATATTTTCCGATTACTCAATTAACGCAAGACTATATATCTAAGGAAATGTACTTATGGTTATGTAGGCATTAATTATTTCGAAGTAGACATGAATACTTGATAAGAGATCACGCACCTTGCTGTTAAATAAGTTCAGCCATGCCTTTCCACTCAAGATATAGCGAATGGCAAACTTGAGTACGTCGAGTGGGAAATAGAAAACTATGTTGTAGATCCAAACTACACCAGCCCATCCCCATCCACATCCTTTTATCTCAGCAAAACCCCAGGTAAAATATACAGCAATAACAGTTGCCACCTGACCCAAGTAAAAAAAATCCACAAAACATAACATTTTAGACTTCATTTATATACGTGTAGGGAAAGGAGGACTGATCAAAACAATTCTTACCAGCTGAGCAATCGCGAAAGCTATCATCAACATCATACCAGGACGCTCAACAAAGGACCAGCTGCGAGACCGGGTCACGAAAATAAGGGCTTGACTTACTATACTCACTTGGAGGTATAAAGCAGCCATCATTTCCTCGCGACTGTCTCTCAAGGATCTTACACCAAATTTTTCCTACATGATAAAGGGCACATCCAGTGGATATTATGAGACATAATAGGATTACTCCCTCCTTGATTTTGTGAAATGTAAAATGAAGATATTTTCCAAGAATGAAACATGAAATATAAACAGTTACATACAGAAAAGAAGTCTGTGTCCTTCATAACCCAGAAGAAAATGACAGTCATCAAGGCTTGGTAACCTCCAAGAACAATTCCAGTGGCAAAGATTTCATTGAGCTTCCAGCTATCAGGCATTGGAGATGGCTTGACTCGATCCTTTGAGATAGTCATGATTGTACCTTGAAGAAAAAAGATGGTTCGTACAATTTTAAGGTGCTCTTTCAAAAAAAAAAACATACATATAATTAAGGAACTTAAACCAAGATAGATTGCGAAGATTCTTACCATCATTTAGGATGGCAATAATCAAAACCATGAAGGGTGAGAAGTCGAATTTCCAGATCAAAGCGATAAGCAAAAAGCCGACCTACAGAGTCAAAGACAAGAGAACTTGGTTAATCAGTACATAATTTAATCCGAAATTGCATGACATTGTGGAATATTTACATACCACAATACGGATTGTGATGGAGACTGCATAGATCTGCATTCAAATGTGGGAAGCAAAAAAGAAACAGAGGGTAAGACTATAAATATTTTTTTTAAAAAAAAGAGGAAAAAAGAAAGAAAGAAAGAAAAAATTAAAGGCTAACAAAACCCACAGTGTAGTTCTTCATCCTCTGGAAAATAGCCCTACTGGTTAGCACAGCACTGATGATAACACTAAGACCAGGCTCAGTGAGAACAATGTCAGAAGCACTTCTAGCAGCATCAGTTGCATCATCAACTGCAATACCGATATCTGCCTTCTTCAATGCAGGGGCATCATTGACACCATCTCCGGTCATACCGACAATGTGCTTCTTCTCTTGCAATATCTTGACAATTTCGTACTTATGCTCTGCACAACAAACGTAGCAGCAAGGCTTAATTATAGAAGATGAGTTTACTGTAATCCCTATTTTCAGTATTTGACGAAAAGAAAATTCTTACCTGGGAATACTCCAGCAAAACCGTCAGCTTTCTCAATCAACTCATCTATAGGAAGGCCGGCAGTATCTTTGTCTTTTCCAAGCAAAGCAGAAGATGGGTACATATTTGTTCCCATACCAAGTCTTCTACCAGTTTCCTTACCAATGGCAAGTTGATCACCTGTAATGTTGGAACAAAAAAGTTATAGTAACCTAAAACAGGTGATTTATAAATGATGATCACAATTCAAAAATTGTTATATGATGACTAGCTTACCTGTAATCATCTTAACATTGACACCAAGGTTGAGGGCCTTGCGGATAGTTTCAGCACTGTCATGCCTTGGAGGATCAAAAAGTGGCAACAAACCAACAAAGTCCCATGGTGCACCTGGAGATTCCTTGTTCTTTTCAGGCACTTCCTGCAAATTTAGATTAAGGTTATTAGCCCGCCTAATTAAATAAGCAGAAGCTATTTACAGTATCTTTATCTTCGAACCTGTCTTGCTACACCCAATGAACGAAGACCACGTTCAGCAAACTTCTCAATCGCTTCATGAACCCTCTTTCTGATGGCATCATTGCAATTGCACAAGTCAAGAATCTGCATAATGAGAATTGAAGAATCACATATTTGTAGCCCAAAAAGGAAGATACGGATCAAAAAAGCATAAAATCAGATCTAAAAGAACGTAAATGTACCTGCTCAGGTGCACCTTTACTAGCTCTATGCCAGTTTCCTTTATCATCTATGTAAGTCAAAGCAGTCCTTTTTTCCACAGGATTGAATGGAAGAAAGTGTACCTCCGTAATTCCAGCTCTAGCCTACATATCAATATTCAAGATTCAAAAAATCATCCAACTGAAAAATTAAACCGTTTACACAACACGAAATTGTTTTCCTAGATACACTAAGCACCAAGACTATAATAGCAATACCTCTTTGGGGTCAGCAAGCATTCCAACCATGCAAGTATCAATAGCATCTTGGTTCTCAACACGTGAGGCCCTTGCGGCAAGAAGGAGAACATGCTCCTTATCAACATCCTTGGAAAATACCTCAATTAAGTTCTTGTCAACACTCAACTTGTTGAGAGTCAAAGTACCAGTCTTGTCACTGCAGAGCACATCCATACCAGCCATTTCCTCAATGGCAGTCATTCTCTTTGTAATAGCTCCTTGTTGAGAGAGCCTGTGGGACCCAATAGCCATAGTCACAGACAACACTGTAGGCATGGCAATTGGGATACCACCAATCAAAAGAACCAACAGATTGTGGATTCCATCCCTGTACTTACGACGCTGGATTGGGTACATCACAATGATCTCAATCACCATACCCACCGCAATGGAGATGATGCAGAAGTTACCAATGGAGGTAAGAACCTTCTGAAAATGACCAACATTGTTGGTGCTGTCGACAAGGTGGGCTGCCTTCCCAAAGAAGGTGTGGACACCAGTGGCAATAACAACAGCCATAAGCTCACCTTGCTTACATGTTGATCCGGAGAAAACTTCATCCCCAGGGTTCTTGGTAACGGGAAATGTTTCTCCTGTAAGAGCAGACTGATCAACCTTCAAGGCGTCACCTTCAAGAAGACGTGCATCAGCAGGGATAATGTCACCCAATTTGATGCTGATGATATCTCCTGGCACCAACATTGCAGCGTCTGCCTCACTCCATTTATTATCCCTAAGCAGCTACACTCCCATCCAAAGAGAAACAAAAAAAGGAAAGAGAAAATTAGAAACATTGATAGAGTATGTAAACCAATCCTGGGCTTCAACCATAAACTTAAGCTTTTGGTTGAGTTGGTCCTTTAACAAGCATACATACTTGCATTATCAAGCTAAGAAAAAACTAAAGATGTGGCCGTAGTACATGGCCTTTCCTTATTCAATTCTAACAATTAAGTTTGATTGACATGAGATAAAAACTCAATCAGACGAGCTTATAATCACAGCAAATCTTACCTTACACTTTGGAGCAAGATTAGCCATGAGTGCAGCAGCGGCATTTCCAGCATTGTTCTCTTCAATATACGAGATAGTAGAATTGATGAACAACAAACAGATGATACCAACAAAATCAGGCCAATCTGGTGGCTTCCCACCCCCATTAGCAAGTGCTATGGCCATGATAGCAGCAGCTTCCATAACCCAGGACAAGGGGTTCCACATAAACCCAAGAAACTTGAGGAATTTACTTTCCTGTTGTATTCATTATAGTAAACTGATATCAGTTAAAAAAAACAAAAACAAAAAAATCAAGCGCATATCGTACAGCAAGTTTTCTGATCATGTACCTTCTTCTCTTCCAGCCTGTTGGGTCCAAATATTTGGAGTCTGTTTGTTCCTTCTTGGGTTGTTAAACCGTCCCTGGTACATTTCAGCTGCTGAAAAACTTCTTCAATTGGAATTTTTTCCTGTGAAAAAAAAACATTCAACTTTAAGTTACACTGATCATATAGGTGATGATCATACATTTACATAAAATGGAACCCAAAAATTATGCTAAAGAGTGGCAAAACAAATAGATGTTCTTATATCAAGGCATTGAACCTCTGCCTACAGCTCTTGGAATCCTCTGAAGGCATTGTCTTCTTAACCATACGAATAGTTTGTAACTCAAATTGATCGTGAATAATAGAGAGTTGCAATGCATTTAATCATCAATCTTATGCTAAACTAAATGTTTGGATGGTAACTTAAATACAATATACACCCACAAATTGTTTACATAGTATTTCTAAGAGCAAAAATAGTACAAGTACTAACCATACCAATTTTGTACAAGATTTTGAATGCCGAGGCAAATGTTAAAAAAAATTCATTTTCATTTTTCATACTTCGAGTTGAATATATTTCCTAATATGTACGTTAGATTACACAATTTACCCATTATATTCATTACATATTCTCACCATATTTGAGCATTTAGTTAAACAATATACACGTCAAGTTCTTCTTATTTTATTCAAGTATGTTTTTGCCCATTTGAAGAACTCTACTTAAGCAAAAGACATCAAAATGTTTTTGCCCAGATGAAAATATGAAAATACATTATAGACACCTAATGTTTGTCTCATTTGACTTTTTTTACGGATTTCAATGTATTATATATACAATAATCGCGTAAAAAGAAAAATTAATATATAAAAACTACCCATCTAATTCCAGTATGTTTATTCCATAATATATCGGTGAATAATTTGAAACAAAATTCTTTTTCCAATAATGATAAAATATTATAAATGTCACAAACAGTTTTTTTTTTTCAAAAGGTACAATATATGCAGGAATCTTCTCACAAGACCGTATCCTAATTTATTGTTTGGTTGACATTATAAAATGTGGGAATTGTAAATTCATGAGAATTTATATAGTAGGTAGTTGTTTGGTTGACATAAAAAGGCAAAAATGAGGGAAGTGGAAATTCACGGGAATTTCAACTTCCCACAAAACATGGAAGTAAATTCCATTCCCAAGCCCCCCTTGGTAAACCAAAATTCATGAGAATTTCAATTTCCCTTATTGCCATCTAAACACATTTAAGAAATTCCTAGGAATTTCATCAAGGAATTAAATTCCTTTGGGAATTCAATTCCCACATCAACCAAACAATTATGTGACAAACATTATGAAATAAAAGGAGTACAATGGTATTCAATCATTTTGACAATCTTTCAATGGTCTCCCTAAAATATCCCTTTTTTTATCTCAAAAAAGTCTCTAAATTACCCGATTTCTCCTTTAAAAACCCAAAATTCCCCAAAATTATTACAGTATTTTGTTTAGCACATCATGGTAATAATTGCAAACAACCAAAGTAATCATTATATACTATCGAACTACAATCAAATTCTTCCAATTTACAGAAATAAGCATCAAAAGTTGGGTAAAACAAATGAAAGTGTATTACAATAGACAATTAGAAGAATTTCACAAATTTCAAAATTTGGCAATACATTTCATTTATAAAACAAAATTACTAAAATAAAATTAATAGTGTAGGAAATGGGTTTGACAAACACCTGAAAATCTTCATGTATCTCCTTGATTTCATCAAAATTAATTTAATTTTAGCTTCCAATTTGTTTTCCATTGCAGGGGTGATTGTATTTTTGGAGAAGAAAGATGAGTAAGGGACTGAGGTAGAGAATTGGAGAACTAATTCAATTAGTACGGCAAAATATCTTAATTTTGACTTTATTTTTACCCACTTTATGTCACGTGGATAATTATTAATTACGGTAACTCCGGCTGTAATTTTAAGGTCTCATGTGAATGGCGAGACTTAAAATTGTAATTTTAAAGTCACAACATGAATTTCTCACCATTTTATATTTGCAGTGTTTAAAGAGATACAAAAGAAAGCTTAAAAAACATCTCAAAATAATATAGAAGGTGGTAGCTATAGGAAGTTTGAAACCTATTGCTTTGAGCATTTTCAAAGTAATAATGTAATTTGAATTAATAAAATCAAAGTTCAGGTTCTAGTTTAGTGAAGAGTATTAAGTAATTTTAGAATTATTTTGAAGATTACTCCATATTTATTTTTTATATTTTTTGGAGGCGGCTATAGAAATATCTTGAAAGAGACCTTATCTTATATTCTTACTACTCCGCACAAACTATACAAAACGAGGCAACGTGATCACAAATTTGCAACTTGGAATTGCTCTTTTATGGACGATATATATTATTAACACCAAGATTTTTCCACAAATTATTAATTTATTGAAAACATACTACTTGTTAATTGTAATGTCATCAAGACATTACTAAGAATTTTTATATAGAAACACTAGTAATTAAATCAAGTAATAACAAAAAAAAGGGAGGGAGTTGATCACTCCAACTTCTACAAACAATTGTGGAGTCAATTATTTCAACATTTTTGAAGAAGTAAATTGATGGGAAATTTGTATAATAATTCTATCATCATGATGTAATGAATTAGCACCAAAAAAAATAACCAAGATTTAATGATAGATTAATAAGAGAAATGAGTCACATCTTGGTGGAAGTAATTCTTAGCTTCCTGTATATTTGGTTTTCATATCTAGTTATATTGCTTCATGAACAACTTTTTAAAGTCAATCAAACAATTTTCTGTAATCTCTATGACGTGATGAAAACTTTTGAGAATAGCAATTTTTTTACGTGCAACTAAATGATCAAGTAACATCTCACATATAATAAGGTCAAAGTGCTTGTATAATCAGTTTTTGAGCATCAACCTCTAGGAAAAACAAACCCAAAACTATAAAATGTAATTTGTACTGATTAAACTCACAAACTACTCCATGCATTACTAAAGAAATCAAACTAATGATATAAATTTTTTTTGTTTTTGAAAGTAATAAAATCAAATTAAGCAAAGCAAAAGGGATAGTGTGAAGAAGCATTACCAGATCAACCTCCTCATTCTTGAGGCCTTCAAAATCGTTGGCATTAGCCATAGTTCAAAAAAAAAAAGAAACAAAAAGTTTAAAGGAAAAGAAAAAAAGAGAAAATCTCAGAAAATAACAAAGAGAGAAAAACCAAAGTGAATTTTTTTTCTTATGATTTTAATCATAATACCGAAAGAATATTGCATTCTCGTATATATATGGAAAAAAATACACAAGAATTAACAACTCATAGTAGTCTAAGTCAATCCAAATATTAAAATAAATTAATGAAAAAGTTGTGACAACATTTCATAGGGGTCATTATTATTGAGACAAACATTTTTTAATAAAGTTAGAATTGATCGTGCGCTGATTTATTTTGTTGTGAGATTGGACATTTGAGAGTTGCATTGGAGAATATGACTTAACATAATTGCCTTTGTTTAGGGAAGTAATCTTAAGAATGAAGGGTTTATTTTCTACAAAGGACATGCAAGAGAGACATTATTCATAGGGAGGACAAGTGTACAAAGTTTACCAAAATAAGATATAAAATTATATTAATATAATAATACTATGATAATAATCCCGTTATAAAAAAATATTATGATAATAATATCGTTATATTGATATAATATAATATTATGATAATAATGTCTCATTATATATGATAATATCATACTCTGTATGAGATATTATTGTGATACTAGCTAGCTTAGGAGTCCATTGTTATTGGATTAAGTGAATTGATATAATTTGGATAAATACCAAAAGTCCTTGGAGAACCCTCACAGCCCCCAAACTAGTAATGGACAGTTAGTAAATATATATCTATCACATAAATTAATTGGCGAATAAGTATATATAGGTATCGTACATAGACGGATTAGGATATCCGATTGAGATGAGGATTTACTAATTTAAATTTGAACCCATCTCGAGTAACTCATCTCAAGTGGCACATATGGTTATTAAGTGGTGGGCGTCTTGTTTTCATTTAAACATTCCAAGCAAAGTTCTAGTGAGTAATAGAGTTCTTGATTGCCTTTTATGGCCTAGTCTTTAACCACTTCTATTCTATGATCGTTAATATCAACATTGGCTACGAGTATTACTTCTTATTTCAAATTATGAATTAAAATGGTTCTAACAAAATCACATATTCAACTATCAAATTCATGAAAATTATGATGTAAATAAGTTTATTGGTTTACAATTCAACCTTATAAAAGTTCATAAAATAAAGTATTTAAAGATATAGTTTGTGATGTATTTACAAGTATATTTTATTGAAAAATGTCCTCATTTGTTGAAGTTGATTGACCTAGTTGCCACTCCATATTTAACAAAAAAGAAATATATATATATATATATATATATATATATATATATATTTGAAACAAACAATAGATATAATAAATTAATAATCATACGATAATACATATAATTATATACTTTATATAAATAAAATTTTGGCAGCTAGTTAAAAAAAAATTAAGTAGGTGAAATAAAAAAAATAAAAATAAAAAATAAAAAATAAAAATAAAAATAAAAATGAAATGAAATGAAATGAAAATGGTTTAAAGGTAGATGTGAGACACATTTGGCAAATTGGAAACCCGAAAAGTGACTAAGGATGAGTCATCTAAAACGGGTGGGGCCCACCCAAATCTTTGACCAAGTGATGACACTCTTGTTGTCACCGAGAAGCCAGGGCCTTTCTCATACAGTTGAGGACAACATTATGTTGCGATTTTACTACATTATTATTATTATTATTATTATTATTATTATTATTATTATTATTATTATTATTATTGCATAATTATGTATTTATATACATTAATATTCCCCTCAACTTAATGTAACGTGAGAGTAACATTAAGCTTACTATTTCAACATATATTTAAGATATCTACAGTTATGATCATGGAAAGATTTATGTGAATCGAAAAGGATTTTTTAACTTATCGTCTATTATTAGATGGATCAAATGAATTTTATTGTCATGTTATACTATATCGATAGACCTCTTTGTAAAAAGTTGTAAATCACAATGCAATAGAAGAAGGCATAAAAATTGTTCAATATTTATTGTTGTAGGCTTGTGGCTTAGCTGAAAGACAATATTTGATTTAATCTGTTACGCATTTGTTATATAAGTAAAGTATAATATTTGTAAATTAAATTAAATTAGGCTTCAGCATTTGAGGGAAGACTTCCAATTTTTTGTGCATCTTTTTTCTGAAACAAAAATGTGTAAATGTCATAGGACTCTTGTCAATGAATTAATATTATGGCTCTGTATTAAAATTTCATACAACTATTCCTTTATAAAAAATTAAAAAAAAAAAAAAAAAAAAACTTCAAAGGTTAATATTACATATGTACATAAATGATTAATTTTGGTGATAAAGTCTTGCCTAAATATATGAACAATTGCCTCTCATAGTCATTTATTCTCCTTTGATAATCTTTGTTAGGTGACAAATTATGGGTTGAGATTGGTTATATTTGATAAATTAGTCATGAATGTTAGAATAAACAATGTTATTTTGCAAAGAAAAACTATAAGACATTCAATTTATATGACCTTTACTATCAAAAAGTTGTGTAGCAAATAGTAGTCCTCATAAGACGTTATTTTGCGAAATAAATAATAAAAAATGTTTTTGTACCATAACTTAGCTTGATTGAAGACTTTGGAGGAAATTATACTTGGTGCTATAAGACATGCACAACTTGCCTAGTTGCCTTGCCCCTATATTTGGAATTGAAATTGGAATAATTTTTTTTCTCTATTTTTCATTTCATGACTCTTGGTTCTACTACAAGGTTTTCAACCAAAAAAAAGCATTCGTCCAAGTGCTAGAAAAAGGGTGGTGTGTAGAAGCCTAACAAGGACATGTACAATTGTCTTAAATTTATTTGTTTTTGTAGAATATTGACTTAGAAAGTAGGCTTAATAGAAAATGGGCAAATTTATATAATAATGGGTAACGTTCTTGTAACTTGTAGGAAGTATGTTCTCAAGTTATTGTTAATCAAACTCTTAGATTTGGTCCTCCTATTTATTGGGGTGGGTTACATATGCATTAGAATACTACAAATTGAGTTAGCTAGCACCTGCAATTAGAGGTGTCTTCGTCAATAAAAAATAATTAAAAATAGAGGTGTCAGTAATGTCAAAACTCGATTTGATCCGACTCGATCTGGCTTAATTTAAAAGAAACTTGATCAAAATATTAAGTCAGCATAATAATTTTGCATGTCTTCAATCCAACTATATCCAAATTGTGCCCCACACAATGATCCGAATTGACACCTCTACTCGCAAATTAAATTATAGTAATGTTAACTAGTATAGTACCCGTGCAATTGCACGGTTTAAATAATTCAAATATTAAATCTCACAAATTTTAACCTATTACTTGTTATATTGAAAGCTTTTAGTATATAATAATTTTAGTCACAATAACGTAACCCACTCTAATCATCTATCACGGTACTCCGTCTGTATCATATTTTCAATTCGATGTTGAATAAAATGGTTTAGAAATAGGTAAATGACAACCTTTACTAATATCTTGGTCATGTTTTACCTATTTAAATCTAGTCATGCACATTCTTTCACATATCTTATATATTACCCTTCATGTGCACTTTTGTTTTAATCAATATAATAAAACATTAAAACATACTCTATCATCCCATAATATAGTCACAATCTTTTTAAAATAAAAAAATCAGGTGTACAACATTAAATATATTAGTTGAAAAGTCGCCCTAATAAAATGATAGATCAAAAGTTACCCAAAATAAATCAAAGTCATTCTGATTTAAATTATTTAAAACAAAATATGAGTGAGTAAAAGTAACTACATTACCCTTATAAAAACTTAATATCCCATTGTTTATTTACTTCAAAATCAAATCAGGTTAAGCATTACTCAAAATAACTTAAGAGTACATTATCCTATCATTGTATTTTTACTGTTTCGAGATCCACATTCGATGTACACTACTAATATTGTAAATCGGCTAACATAAAAAAAAGTGTTTATAATATAGTTGACTTATTTATTGATAAATTTTAACAAGTCTAAGAAAGCATACAAAAAAGTACTTTTAAATAATTAAAACATCTATAAACCTAGACTTGGCAATTCTGACTCAGATCCAATGACCCGACTCGAAATCAACCCGCAAACATCGACCCAAAACCCAAGATTGACTCAACCCAACCCATACCCGACCCAAAAATGAAGTTGACCCGACACCCGAACTGACCCAACCAAATTGTACCAGACTCGAAGTTGACCCGATACTCGAAATGGTCATACCCGAAATTGACTTGACCTAAAGTTGACTCGAATTGTTCAACTCGAACATACCCGATACCCAAAATGTCATGCACTAAAATTACCTTATAATTGAACTAAAAATGTTTAGTGCCAAAAATGACACAAATTGTTCATGTCCAACCGTAGCCAAGCTCATAAACTGAATTGATAGTTCTTATTATAATAATAACAAAATATAAAATTATCTATTTGTGCTTGATCCAAAAATGGAACAACCCGACCTGATTCTGACTCGACCCAAATATGGCCTGAACATACTTTCCCGAAAATGGTATGACCCGAACATACCCGACCCGAACTCGACCTAGTACATAACCAGAGTTATAACTGAAACCTGAATTGACCCGATCTGACCCTTACCCGACCCGAATATGACCTGACTCAAAAGTGACTCGACCCAGACCCGACCCGAATGACTTGTTTGCCAGGTCATAAACTTATACTAAAAGTGATTTTAGATTAACACATGTCATTCCCTTGTTGCCAGATCCTTTTTCCAAATTTGTGTTTTTAAACACATTTCAAATTACCATTTTCATGACTATATATATAATCATCTTATTTAAAAAAATTAATCAAAACAGGTCTATTATTTTATTTAGTATAAATAAGAATTTATCTTTACTAATCTCCTATCAATAAAGATATACAACTACTACACATAGGTCCTGTTTAGCAAAAGTAGCAGTGGCGGGTAGCTTTTAGCGGTTGGGTAGCGGGTAGCTGTTAAGGTAGCGAGTAGCTGTCAATTAGTAGTGGGTAGAGGTTAGCTGTCAAAGTAACGGTTGATAGTATGAGTGTTTGGCAAAAGTAGTGGTTGCAATACTTAAATATATCAAAATTAATATACATGTTGTTTAAAAAGTATTAAAAATTTGCCACACGCTACCCGCTAATTCTATACGCTACTATTTTTAACGTTTGAGAAA